TCTCCAATAGGTGTCTATTCTTGCGCTCAACAACCCCATTCTGTTGAGGGGTACTAGCACAAGATGACTGATGTAGCATGCCAGCATCCTCCATGAACAGGTTCAAGGATCTTTCAAAATATTCAGTAGCATTGTCTGACTGGAATTTTTTAATCTTCTTGTCAAATTGTGTTTCAATCATTTTGCAAAATGCCATGGTTATCCGTGGCACTTCATCACGTCCTTTTAACAAGTAAATCCATATGCATCGTGAGTAGTGATCAATAAAACTAATAAAGTAACGAAAGCCATCAACAAAAACAAGGGGTGAAGGGCCCCAAACATCAGAGTGAACTAAATCAAAAGGAGCTTGAATTTCACTACTAGAAACTAGATAAACTGTTCTACATTGCTTTGACAACTGACACACTTCACAAACTAAACTTTGACTTGAAATACCCTTGAATAATTCCGCAAACAACCCTTCCAATGATGAAAAAGGTAAATGACCTAGCCTAGCATGCCACAAATGTAACCTAGCTATTGACTCCACATTGTTCTGACTACTAGCAGCAGATGTTTGTAAGGCCGAACTTATGTCTGCATCAAAATAGTAGAGACTTCCATACTCATGACCGTTCCCAATCGTTCTCTTTGTCAATCTGTCCTGAAAGACACAATGAGTAGGAAAAAAGGTTATGCTACAGTTCAAATTCTTGGTAAGCGTTGAAACAGATAAGAGATTGGAAGAAAGATTGGGAACATGTAGAACAGATTTAAGAGAGAGGTCCTTGCTTAGGTCAACCACCCCTTTCCCAGAGATGGTGGAGAGAGAACCGTCAGCAACTCTCATCTTATCTTGACCAGACAATAAGTGATAGGAAGAAAATAGAGAGGACATATGTGTCATGTGGTTAGTTGCACCGGAATCAATAATCCAAGTAGTAGAGTCAATAGAACTAGTTGCACTAAAAGCAGAGACAATACCTGATCTGGCAAGGGAGGTGGAAGCAAGAGAATTAGTCCTTAGACGGGTTAAAGCCCGGCTAAGTACCTCTCTCTCATCAGCAGTGAAACCCAAGGACCCGGATACGGAGGAATTAGCAGTCTGTCCCAGGGGAGAAGAAGCAACTGTAGATGAGTTTTTTGAGCTATCATCACTGTGACTAGTAACAAGGTTCCCACTTGCTGCTTGACCCTTCTGGTGCTTCTTGTCTTTCCTCAAGGCAGCTGGTTTCAGATGAGGATAAAGAACCCAACATGTATCTTTTACATGCCTTTCACCTCCACAATGAGTGCACTTAAGATGCCTCTCGTCTGAATACTTATTCCCCTTTTGATTTGTAGAAATCAGGGCTGAATGTTCAACAGGCTGTTCAGCTGGCTTTATTTGAGTGTGAACTTGCATCTCTTTCCTCCTAACCTCTTCAWTCCTTACTAGGTAATAAACATGATGTAAATCTGGCATTTCATCCCTTCCCAAAATTTGAGACCTTCTGCTCTCATACATTGGGTCTAAACCAACCAAGAACTTAAAGGCTCTACCCTCTTCAATTTGTTTATCATGCCTCTCCTTGTCTTTGACATTCTCCCAATCAAGAATAAGGTGGTGATCAAGCTCTTCCCATAGTCCTTCTAGGGTTGCAAAATACGTTGCAACAGTCATATCTCCTTGTCTCAAGGCAGCAATGTCTTGATTCAGCCTATAAATTCTGGCATTGTTCTTTCTCTGTCCATAAGTTTTAGACACTTTCTCCCAAATCTTAGCAGCAGTGGAGAAGTGTTGAACAGTCCTGGCTACTCTTGGAGTCATTGAAGCAAGCAGCCAGGACATAACAGTAGCATTCTCCTTACGCCAAACTGCGTACTCCACACTACCCACTTCAGGTTCCTTCTTCTGCCCATCTAAATAACCAGTGAGTTCCCGGGAAGTAATGAAGAGCATGGCTGAAACAGACCATTCTCTGACGTTGTATTCATCCAACAACACACTGGTGATCTGCAAGCTGTGCAGATTTGGATTCTCCAGATTAGGAGACTTCCCACCAGACCTAATATCCCTAGAAGACACTTCCCCCGATATTGAAGACATCTCCTCCTTCTTACAATGATCACGACTGCAAACTCAGTACAAAGAATGCTGTTTCAGACTTACCGAGGTTGTTACARTCCTGAGAACTCGTAACAGATCTGAAACCGAGAGCAACCCACCGCTGCACTGTGCTGACTTCTGCTGGGCTTTGACTTCWGCTGTCGTAGACTGTAACCACCCCTACGACCTGTACTAGGAYTGCCGAAATCAGTCCTCCCACCTAGATCTGTTCCACACAGATCTCTCTTAGCAGCCGAATGGCTACTATCTGCTGTAAGAAGTCTAGTAGGGCATCAGCTTCTGGGACAAACTCCCCTTGGGCCCTACAACCAAGGGAAACCCTAGATGCAGATCCTGCTGTGTTCTACGGTCAACCCTAGGGTTTCTTTGCAGCAACCAAGATAGAGAAGAAAAAAAAGAAGGATTAGATAAGAGTAGAAAAGGTGGCGGCGGCTGTAACCAGGAGATGGATTAATGCTCTGATACCATGTTTGCTGGAACACAGCAGCCGAAGAAGAAGAAGAGAAGAAGAAGAGGAGAAAGTTTGAGAATGGCGGCTCAGAACTCTCAGCCGGCCCTACTATCTTATATATATGTTTATTACATAGTGTTACATGAATGGACTAGAATGCCCCTGATTAGTGTTACATAAATGGACTAAAACATTAAACAAGTTTAGGCCCAACAACTAAGGCCCAATAACTAATGACTTAAGACCCAGCAATGACTAACATATACATTAAATCAGCCGAACCAACACTAAGGAGAGGAACCAAGCCCTTTTAGGGAAGTGGTTATGGAGGTTCCCAATCGAGACAGATGCTATGTGGACATCCATCATCAGCAGTAAGTATGGAAAGCACACCAGTGGTTGGGATAGCAAAGTTCAGTTGAATTAGGTTTAAGCTTCAAACCCTTGGAAAGGTATCTCTTCAACTTTCTCCTTCATTTCTTTCACCAGATACAAAGTGGGTAATGGGCTGAAAATCAAATTTTGGAGTGACCTTTGGTGGGGGCAGATACCTTGGCAAACACTTTTCTCCTCCTGTTCGACCTTTCTTTGTCCAAAGCAGATGAATGTGGACAGATTGATAGTTGAAGGGGATTCCAAGTTGGTAATTGGGTGGCTAAAAGATTCAGACTCTGTTATTTGGACCTACATGGAAGCTGTGAAGAAGTTCATTCAGTGGCGAAGAAGTTTGGCTAACGGCTTAGCAGATTCTTTAGCTAATCAAGGGTTTTTTAGGGTATTTTTGGGCTCAATTGTAAGCTGATTTGTACCTGAGGCTGCATCTTGCGCCTCCCTTTGGTATGAATTTCTGTACACATTTTGGTTAATTCTTAATAAAATATTTCTTTACCTGTAAAAAGAAAATCTGATTTGCAATCTTGTTTTCATGTTAAATATCCTCTAGTTACTTTTAATGAAGCTTTTATTTTTTTTCTTTYCTTTTTTTTTAAGATTTGTACTCTTTAATGACCTACAAAAGGTTGGTCATGAGTCTATCATGAGTCTATTTGTTCTTGTTAGAGTTATTAATATGTCGGGTCTGGTTTGGGACAGGGTATACCCGTCCCATTTCGATTATTAATCAGGACAATTGGGTCTGACCTGATTATACTTGGCACCCATAATTACCATTGATAATAACAATTTAGAGCTTCATTTTGATAATACAACCTTAATAAGACTGAAACTAAAATACTAAGCTGTTTATATGTTGATAAAATGTGTTTTTAACCATAATTATCTTTTGTGCTTTTCATGAAATTTACACTTTTAAGACATAAAGTCATAAAGTATAACAACTACAAATAAAACCAAGAGATCTTTATATATTATTAACTATATAATTGGTTTGGGTCTGAATTGGTTTGGAACAGCAAGAACCGGTCCTGACCCAATTATTAATCGGGACAAAATCACAGAACCAGAACCGACATTATCAGTTTGGTTGGCTCAATTCTGTTGGGTAGATCCAACCTTTTGGCAGCCCTCGTTCTTGTTTAGTTACAGACTTTTAGTGAAAGGGACCATTTAAAAAAGGAAAATGAAGGCGTTTAACTTTTACTATGTATTCTTGTTAAATTACAGTTATGGACAATACAAGAAAATGCGTGAGTTGATTGATAAATATGAAGGGGGTTTGGATTCATTTTCTCGTGGTTATGAAAAGTTTGGCTTCACTCGAAGGTAATGGTTTCCCACTTTCTCTTCTGTTCATTTTTCTTGATTTGTCTTTTAATATTCAAACAAGTTGCCTCTTCCTCATTCTTCATATTGAGTTAATGATGTAAAAGTCAGACCTCAATGCTAATTTTTAATTGTTTTCTAGAATCATTATTATTGTTGTTATTATGACCAGAAACACTATACAACCTGTAATTTCATTGTCCATATCAAAAGAGTTCCTTTCTTTGCTTAACAAAATGGTCTTGTTATTGCTTCCAGGCAGGGGTTCTGATATACTGAAACATTTCCCTAAAACTAACACAATTCAAACGACCAAATCATCTAGAAAAATGTTTTTCTGCATGATATGTTAAGACTTAATTATCCAAAACTCAAAATAATTTTAATAGTTTTTATATGTACCATAATGTAAACCATGCTCTTTTTGAGTGCAGATGTAGTGGGGAATTTCCATGTATCTCTGTTTCTTGTTTTGTTTCTCATTGCACCATCATTTTATTGCCCTTACAATCATTTAATATCATCATTACCCTGTCATCTTCTTTATTAGATTTGATCACATAATGATCATAATCTCATATGGTATAGTCCTGGCATAATGACATTGCTCTTACCCTTATCACATAATAATCCTATTTTTTGATCAATAACAGTAAGATTTTATTAATATAAAATGATGTCCAATATGCACAAGTGCACTGTTTAGATATAAAGAGTCTTATCTCTACCCTTTGGGTTTCCTTTTAAATCTCTTACAACTGTGCCCAAAACATTTGCTCCCTCTCAGTCCCTCGTTTTGCTAGAACATCCACCAAACTATTGGCTTCCTTTGGAGTCAAAAGAACCCTCACCTTCATATCTTCTAGTCAACCACCCAAACTTTTTTACTTCATTAATGTAGCACCACAAAGCAGTCTCTTTCTTTTGCAGCTACTCTACCACTGATTTGGAGTCCTCTTCAATAGTCAACTATTTCCACATTCATCTCCTTTTCCCTCTGTACTCATTCCATTACAGCCATAGTTTCTGCCCTTAATAAGTCTCGTACCCCAGTCAGGCCCGAGAACATAATGACAATATTGCCTTCCTCATTTCTAAAAATCTCCCCACACCTGAAATCCCTTGGTTACCCACTTATCCCTACTGCTCAAATCAAAGTTAAGCTTTAAGAACCCTCTGTCTAGCAGCATCCAACTCCTGTGGATTGTATTCTTTTGATGGAAGTGTTTGCCACTTAACTCCACTTTCTAATGACATCATCTATTGAGAAGGATGTAAGAATCTCCAATGTCTTGACCCAGTGGGCTACCCTGCCCTGGCAGTAATACACTCAATTATTTTCTCTTGATTCCTTGCTTTTTCATTGAAGATTCTTGCACTTCTTTCTTCCCATACTGTCCAAATGACTGCAGCCTGGTGCATCTCCACCACTATACCAGCCACCTTATACAGATATCCCCTGACTTTTTACAAAAAAAAAAAATAAAAAAAATCAAAATCGAAAAAAGAGTTGTGGTTTCTTCTGAGAAGTTTATGAACTGCCACCCAAGAGAGTAAATTTCCCACCATCTTATGCACTACTGAATCTACTGAGTTGCTTTTACTATGGAAGATCCTCTCCACAAGATTCTTCCTCTCTCTTTAGGCCAACTAAAAGTAGTTGGAGAAAATAAATTGGAGACACTAGTAGAAAGGTTCCACCTGCACCCAAAAAGAGAAAGAAACCAATCCCAGCTGCAAGTAACAAAAGGGTAGGAGGTTAAAGTGATAGCAGGTCTCACCATTTTCTTTACTAAGGATACACCAATGAGGGGGATAAACAGCATCCATAATAATCTTCATCATCTTATTCAATTATTACTTTCATTTCTTCATTCCAGCATCCATGCTATCATTATCATCATGTTATTTATTTATTTGCAAAAGCTATCTTATTCATTACCTTTGTATTAATTACATTTAAAATATAATATAACTTTGTAGGGAATTTTATGTGATGTAGTTTCTTACTTCCATCTTTTTCCTTTTGATTTCTCAGTGCCACAGGAATAACTTACAGAGAGTGGGCACCTGGAGCTAAGGTTGTTTTATTTTCATTCTTACTTATTCATCATAGATATTTTATTCACTTTTTGAATTGTTTTATATGAAAAACTCAGTTATTTCCTTCCTCATGCTCTACACCTTGATTGTGAGTATATGTAATGGGTGCTATTTTAATTGTGATGCATTTTACAAAAGCACTTACTAATGTTAGTTTTGACTTTCATATTCATGCATGCATAAACCTTACAGTCTTTCATTTTCCACCTTTCTTTCTGCAACATCTATGCTCTTATTCAAATACCATTTCCCTTTGTTTCTTCCCTGTTCGTTGTAATGTCCAATTATTATCCAAGACAATACAGATTACTGAAGTTTACTCTTGTCACTTGCATCTTTTCTCATGCTAAACATCTTTGTAATAAGCCATGAAGCACATTGTTGCACTAGTTAGATCTACTCAATACTTGATAATGTATTGTTGGATGGTAATAGACCACCTTTAGGGCTGTTTTTATGCATGTTTTTATTATTTTGGCTTTCCAAGCACTGACTATTCCGGATGCTATTTTGTACGATGATTCATGATAATGTGCTTCTTTGATGCTGATTACAAACAGTCTTTCCCTGATACCTTTAAAACATTACTATACTTTACAGTGGCAGATCTAGTGTTAGTTCACTACTCTGTATCTAAAGCCTCTGTTTAGAAATAACAATTGTTCAACACATTTCAGTGGGCAGCATTGATTGGAGATTTTAACAATTGGAATCCCAATGCAGATGTTATGACTCGGGTATGTAAGATATGTTTCATTTTGTCGTCTTTTTTGGCTGAGCTACTTCCTCACAGTATGACAATTTAATTATGTGTGATTTTTGGGATTATTTACTTGGCTTATCATATTATACTTCTCAGTAGTGAGTGTTGATGTGAGTGGTGTGAGAGAAGAGAGTGAACAAAGAGAAAGATGGACCTTAGAATACAAGACTTAGGACAACAAGCCAAACGAGTTCCATCTCTCAAATGAGAGATGCTTTATATTAACACTAGAAATATCCAAATTACAAAGCTGTCCATAATGGGGTAGATATTATATTAAAGTCCTTGATTATAGCTTTTCTTCCAAATACTCCCTTTCTTCGTACAAAATACAATTTGAGCACTCTAACGCTTTCCCTCAAGCTAGCACCAGATGGCTTGCTTAGAAAGAAACATTGTAACCTTGGTGGCAACACAAACAACTTATCTTCTGGGGCAACCCTTGAACAAAGCAACTTGATGATTTCAAGCATGGCAACAACCGGCTCTTACACCACACCAACAAGGATCCAATCAGCTTGAAAACATTCATGACATTATGCATAACTATCACTCATGGCAAGACAATTCTTCAACTGATTAGATGATACTCATGGTGGCTCATGGTTCTTATACCACAACACGACCAACATAATACTTATGGCAGAACAAAGCTCTTACCCAAGACACAACAGACTATCAAGTTCACTTCTTGACACTTTTTCCAACAATAACGGTATACCATCAACATCATWTGGTTCAAAACTATAGCCACTAATATTTAGAAAGAGGACTCCATGTGATCAAAGATTTAACATTCTTAATACCTCAATGAAAACACAATGATAATGTTGGAATGTTAACTTTATTTATTATGTTTGTATTCTACTTAGGGTCCGTTTGGACAAATTAAAGCAGTTTTTTCTTTTGTTTTTTATGCTGTAACTTAAGTAGGGGCATAAGGGTCCTTTCCCTTCTAATTATGGTCGCCCTATATATATTAATATAAGCTGGCGCCGCCAGCACTGTAGCAGGACTCCAAATCTCTCTCTTCTCTTCTCTCCTCTCTTCTGTCTTCTCTCTTCTCTCCTCTCTTCCTCTTCTCTTCTCCTACCTCTCTTCACCTCTGTTCAACTGTTAATATGGTATTAGAGCGGTTCTGCTAGGCCTGTGAGTAGATCGAACAAGCTTCAACCTGCTGTCTTCTTCAACTGAGATAAAAAAAGTGCAACCCTACGACTGGTACAAATTTTTTTTTTTGTGTTTTTTTTCCTTTTCCTTGGTCGTGTACCAAGAAGAAACTATATGACTCCAGACTACTGAATGTTTTCTGAGAAGCTGTGAGGTTCGAACATCTTTTTTTTATAGATCGTATGATCCCATGTCTGAGAATTCAGATCTGTAGGTCGTGGATGACCTGATTTTTTAACCCTTGTGGTGTAACCATACTGGTTTATAACCCCTCAAGCAGTCGATGTGTTTGGAGTGTCTGGAAGTTGGTGGAGTGTGATTGCTAGGTCAGATCAGCTCTGAGATCACCCTAAAATCTTGCCTTTTTTGGACAATTTAGGTTGGTTTGTGGTAAGATTGTGTCCAGATTGTAGTGTGTGCATGTGGGCTTCATCCTTGGTGTTTCTAGGACTGTTTGTTTGGTGATACGAGGGATCATAAGGTGTGCGTAAGGTCTGAAAGGWGTTTGAATCATGTCCTCTGAGAATTCTGCAACTTCAGGAATTTCAGGAGGTCAAAATGGAATGAGTGGGGGGATGG